AGGGTGCTCACGGCCGGGTGGTGGGGTTGACGCGTTCCCGCTGCAAAAGCTGGGAACCCGGGAGGAAAGCAGACAGATCCGGGTTGTTTCCTCTCTCCCTGCAGGTAGGCTTGCTCAGCTGCAGAAAAAAAAAGGGGTTCATTCTCCCCACAGGGGATGTGCCGTGAAACGCGGGGCCGTTCGGGTGCAAAACCCTCAGCGTATTGAGGAGCAGACGGAGCATCAGAGACCCGAGCTGCTGCAGGGAAGCAGAGGTGAAGGGCAGAGGGGGGAAGCTGTCAAAAGACTATGTGGCTAAGAAGCAGCAACAAAAATGTTTCATTCATAACACTCTTGCTACTTTTTTTTATTTAGCTAAGACTGCTTGGAGCAAAATATTTCATTCTAGCTCAGAAATATTGCTAAAAGTTTTATTAATATGCACCACTTTCTTTTTAAACCTTACAAAACTGAATCTAAAATACTATTATGCTGGATTCTGAAAAACGATTATAGCTGAGAAAGTATGATTTTCTACGAGTCACAATGGCATTGCCAATCTCCTTAGTTTTATATTCACCCTTAATTTTAATATGCATATAATAATGATCATTTGCTACATAAATGCAAACAACAGAGAATTCATTTCAGTCCAGACATATGAAAAAAAGAGAACGTATAGAAGTGCAGAGACAAAACAGCACTTCACAGCAGTAAGAAGTCATACACATATACAGTCTACATGTTTATTATTGCCATGTCCAGGTTTGGCATGGGGGGGCCAGGGCCCGCAGCAAACACATGGGCTTTGAAATCCCACCCTGGCCACTGCCTTTCCGTGGGGTGTAGGCGTGGGGTCCCCAGTCCCCAAGGAGGTCGTGTGACACAAGCTGGTCACCCCTGCGGGGGGAGGCATCCTGAGCGGGTGGGTGTATTTACAGAGGGGAGGGGGCTCTGCGTGGCCTGGGAGAGAGGGCTGGGAGCCGAGGAAGGGTCTTTGCGTGTCCGTGGGGTCTCTGCGTGTTCGTAGGGGATCCTTGTGTCTAGGGGAGATGCCTGGCTGTGGGGGTCTCTGTGTCTGGCAGGGAGGGGCGTGCATCTGTTGGGATACCCCTGTGCCGGGGGGGCTGTGCGGTGCAGGCAGCAGAGCCGCGGCT